CTTTCTCTGTTTCTTTCTCTCTTTCTGTTTCTTTCTCTCTTTCTCTGTTTCTTTCTCTCTTTCTCTGTGTTTCTTTCTTTCTCTGTTTCTCTCTGTTTCTTTCTCTCTCTCTCTCTCTCTCTCTCACACACACACAAACACACAGACACACACACACACACACACAGACCGAGCTGGCTCTCAATTCAGGACCTGGCTTGTCAGATCAAATACGGCCAACCTAATTCTACCAAGCGAATGTTTTGCAAACTTGGCCAATTCTGGGTGGACTTCGACTCCCAGAATTCCCAGGCAGCAAACTCAGCATAACGAAAGTAGGAAGGGACCCTGGAGGTCTTCTAGTCCAACCCCCTGTTCAAGCAGGAGGCCCTATATACCATTCTCTTGGGGAGTTGGAACTCCACAGATCTTCCAAGTGGCTAACCCCAGCCGTAATCAGACTCAGACGGTCCCCATTTAATAGCCGTGGGGGTATTTCAACCCTCTCCTTTCTTAAATCCTTCCAGCAGATCCACAAGGCAAGCTACACAGGGCAGGAACACGATCCAGACCCGGGATATCAATTCAGACAACCCTGCCACAAACCTCCTTGGGAGGAAAAGGGGGTGGTCTTCCAGACCAACTTCACCCCACCGAAAGCTTTAAGCAACGGGAAAATGCCGACTGCTCACTTATGAGCAAAAACTCAAAATACAGATTTAACGACGGTATTGCCAAGGAGGTGGCGTTATAATTAATTGGGATTGGGGCTGGGGAGGGAGAGAAAAGTCTCCTAAAAGTTTGGGATCACTTCAAAGAGAGGAGATCCACCTTGAAGGCTGCAGGATCTAAGCTACCTGGGAAAGCAGCCCTTCCCTCCTCCCCCACCCCTCCCCAGAGATATCCCATAAATGAGATGATACAGTAAGAGTGATGTACTGCGTTTGAAGTCAGCTGCGACAAGACACTCTTTCCAGGGCGGGCGGGCGGGCTTGCGCGGCGTTGCTATATCGCGTAATGTGTCCCCGGGCTCCGATGTGCTCCGTCATTTACCGGCGCAAGACAAATGGGCCGCGCTCGTTAAAAGGCACAAAGAGGACCGGGCCAGCCGCCTAATGGTCACCGCAGCTGTGCCAAGCGGCGGGAAGAGGCCACGCCAGAGCTCCCCGAGTTCATTAAAACTGACCAGTAATGGATCCGCGAAAGGGCGCCGGAGGAATTGAGCGGTAAAGGCTAAAATAAATAACGCGTCGCGGAGAGCTCGTCCGAAATGGTGTTTGATAAATTATTTATCGCGGAAGAGATTGCCTGCATTTAATTTTGGAGCCACTGGTAGCATCTTTAAAATATGATTTATGTCTTGTAATGCCATTAAACTCTATATTGGCCCTCTGTTGGCTATAAAGTCTGCTGAGATTTAAAGAGCGGGTTTTAAAAGTGTCACTGCAAGCATCATCGTGGAGAGGCCCGTATTAAATCTTGACTTTAAACCCGCTGTCGGGAGAGTTGCCGCGCCAAAACTTGATATATTGCCTCCTTCCAGCTCTAATGACAAGAGGCCCAAACGGTTGGGAGTCTCCTCCTTTCCCCCACTCAAACGTTTCTGCCTTTGTCTTGGAGATGTGGGGTCAATCTGGCCGGGGAGGGAAGGAGGGCAGGAGAACGGCCAACTCAGGATTTTGAGAAGAAAAAAAAATGCAAGGGCCAAACTTACCATATTTTTTCAATGATAAGACGCAACAGTGTATAAGACACATCAAGATTTTGAAGAGGTACCGTATTTTTTGGAGAAGACGATGCACCTTTCCCCCGCAAAAAAGAGGGTGAAAATCTGGGTGCGTCTTATACACTGAATACAGCATTTTTGGCCTCCTGAAACCCTGACCCCCCCTTCGGAAAAATGGCCGTGCACAGCCTTTAGGAGGCTTCCAGAGTGCTCCTGGGGGCTGGGGAAGGCAAAAATGAGCAAAAAATGGCCCATTTATTGCTCATTTTTGCCT